GAGATTCCCATTCCACAGTGAGGTGGCGAACGAGAATCGAGGCCAGTAATTTTGTCACAACTGGCGTTAGGCTAATACCCCTGTGGTAAGAACAGTCTGTGCGACTGCCGTTCTTGTATATTGCCACTATAATGGATTCTCTCAAACTAGCCGGCACACACTTCCTTCCAGCTACGTTCTAATAGGGAGGTCAGTGCTTTGCAGAGGATCTCACCTCCATCCTTAAATAGTGCAGGTGGGAGGGAATCCGGGCAGCAGCACGAAAACGATTGAGGGTTGTGATCGGGTTTCGGACCTCGACCTCCGACGGAGGCTCTAAACTAACCGTCCATGGCACGTCCTGCATCACCTGAGTAGGAAGAGGTGTGGGAGCAGGGTGCCATCTGAACTGATCTTCAAAGTGTTCAGCCCAACGCGCCATACGGCGCTCTTTATTGTGTATCAGTGCACCCGCGCTGTCTGTGGTTGTCTCACTGATACCTGGTTTTCTGGGGCCAGTGGTGCGGATAAGCTGGAAGAGCTTGAGGTAATTGCCTACTGCTCCTGCCTCCTCCATTTTTTGAGCCCGACTGGTCCACCAGACTTCCTTGTCAGCACTTAGGCTCCGCTTTAGTTCACGCCTAATAGTCCGTCTGGTCAGATTGTGCTCAGAGCCAGTCGGGTGGTTTCTTCTAGATTCAAACAGGTTCACCGATCTCTTGGATATCCCGTGACTGGTGCGGTGACGATGGATAGTGCCACAAGCAGATGCTCCTGCTTCGTACATGGCGGCTGAGATCCTGTCCCACTGAAACTCGGTGTCGTTAGGATAAGACAGCGAAAGTTCGGTTTGCAATGTGTCTTGATAGGCTTGCCTGACCGAGGGCAGATATAATTTCTCAGTTGCCAATCGGCGGATACGCTTGGTGCGCCTCCCGGTAAAGTTCATGGAGAAACAACAGCGTACTAAGACATGATCAGAGTCAACGCAAGTATTCCAGTACGAGCGGCGATCCATGATGGAAGCACACGATCTGTAACTTATGGCAATGTGATCAATTTAGGTCCATCGCTGGTCAGCTACAGGAGGACGCCAAGTGGCACTTCGGCGCCTACTGTGTCCAAAAGCAGTGCTACTAAGAAACAACTGGTGCTCCGTCCACAGTTGCAGCAGACGCTCACTGCTGTCACTCCGTTGGGAGCTAAACACATAATTACCACCCAGCTGAGCATCTGATGAGCTCAGACGCCGTACTTGTGCGGTCATATCCCCTGCAAGTACTATAATATCTGAATTAGTAACATTGTGTCGTAGTGCGTTCAGTTCATGATAGAATGTGTCCTTGACAGTATTAGAACTGCAGTCAGTAGGAGCATAGGCTAAAATCACAAACAGCGTTTTGTACTACTTCGTGAATCAATCTTAGCTGATGTCGTCAAACGAGCTGCACATAAACGGCTGTTCACCAGAATCCAATCGACCAACGATGGCTCAGCCTTGGAGCTTAGAATGATACCTACACCAGCTTGACCCGTGAGTGCTGCATCGGCGTCTCCGGATGCGTGCAACCAATAACGAGAGGATAATCCGGGTGCACTTAATTCAACAACCCCATTAGGGTCATTGATCCTGATTTCGGACACACAACACACACCAATACCCAGTGTGTCTAAGGTACGTGCGATTGCAGCCTGTTGACATATTTGTCTTAGAGTGTGAACGTTAAACGTCGCAGTGGAAATGGGACAGCGTGGTCTTATAAGGGACATTTGACGATAGATGTCCGATAGGTGCGGTGGGATGGTGGCTGCAGATGATTTTACTCCAGTAGCACTTCGGTTGCTGTCAATTAAGCTGGGAATTATAGAAGGAAGGTTAGTAATGGGGGCCGGGATGGGAGTAAGAGAAACAGGTGGAAAAGAGAGAAGGGAGGCGCCAGCACTAGCATGTTTTCGCTTATCCGTCCTGCTGTATGCAGCAGACAAGGCGACCCGTGATAATCTGCACGACGTCCGATGCAGGGTGCAATTTATGTTTGAAGAAAAAGTCATGGTTGTATGTGTGCTGAGATACTGCCAGAGCGCCCAGCCCTAGACAGGAGGACGATTAGGGTCCTCATCCAAAGCTTTTGGCTCAAAAGTCTGTCAATAAGGCAGCGGAGAGGTGGCAATGATTTAGTTTTACAGAAATGGACGCTATCCCATTTCAAACCCACAACCTGGAGTACCAGGAGACTGAGTTTGTCTGACCTTTCATCGTTGATCAACCTGGAAGGCGTAGCTCTCAAGTGGCCCGGAGGCACCACCCAGTATATCTCAGTCGGTTGACGGGGTACGCAAACCCTCGCATCACGTTAAGGTCTAGTCTCGTTGCGACGGACATAAACTTGTCGGCTGGATCGGAGCGACGCCGTACCATTGCGTCTGAGTCGAACCTAGAAGACAAACGACTGTCGTAGCAAGTAGCGGAAGAAACAAGGATTGGGGGATAAAAGTGAGGTCGGAACGGAACGATAATTTTGAAAAAGCATAAAGCGAGATAAGAAGACGTGAAGGCATGAGCAGTAGCACCATCACCCCCTGTCCACTTTGCTCGGCGTAGCAGATAGGGCGGCGTTGATCTTCCTCTGCGACGGCCAGAGCATTTAGATATTGTGTGAAGAGGTTTTCATTGTACTGCGTGGGTATGCTACTGTTAGGTTGCCCATAGCTACACAGAACCACTAGGCTTCTCAAAATCGAGAGTTTTGGATCGGCTTACATGAAATCCGTTTTAAGGAATATGGAGCCATCCTAATTCTGACCCCCAACCTGGAGGACCAAGAGACTGTCTTTATGGCCTTTAACCGTTGACCAATCTGGTATGAATGAACGTTCATTAAGCACCATCCAATGTAGCTCAGCAGGTCGTTTGGACACGCAGAATATCACACCACGTTAAGGTCCAGTCCATGTTCTAATTTTGCCACAGAGCCCCACAAAGATCAACCAGTCCTGAAGTCTCCTGTCTTCACTTCTGCAACAAACATACTTCAGCTTGATATCGTTCAATGTGCGCGCTCAAAAGCAGATTGGATTTCAAGGTGGACTTGAACGCAGCCAGTAAACTCTTACAACTGGTGTCCGCTGCCTGTCTAGAACAAGACTTCAGGCTGCAGCCGCAGTCTACCAATTTTCACACACACCCCCGCCCATGTTTTAGGCTCCACTATTCTAGTGACACTGAGTATACGGCATTTCTACAATCTAGTGTTGGGAGCACTCTTGGTGCAAGGACCGAAGTCGCCCTCCAAATGAGTTCGAATCAACAGTCGCCCCCTGTACTATGAGGCTATATGACATTTCAAGAAGAAAATTATTATCTTTTTGTAATGTTACATGCTCCAACTAACTTTAGTCAGGATGCATTCAAGGACTAGTCTACACTTAGAAAGTCACCAGCATTGTGACAGGAAATTTAAATTCATATTTTGGCCGATTTCTGCCAAGTGAATTTCAGCTTAGAAGACCGCATAAATACGATGACATCCACTCGGGCAATGAAGTAGGGCCACCCAGTCTATGTCAGCTATTTTATCTCTCCAATACGAACCTTCGTCGGTTTGGGTGTCAGTACACTACGTGGCGTCTCTCATCCTCATCTCAGTGTTGGTTCAGGTTATCCGCATCGCCGTAATTCACCGGTTTTGTGGCAGCATTCGGGACTACCGATTATTGTGTTTACCATCATGCACCGTTACATGCGAATTTTTGTGTGCGTTTCGGTGGCTTTCTCAAGACTGAACAAACCCGATGGAACGCCAGCAGCTTGGGAGACTCCGTTGTGCGAAAGGGTATCAACGGAAGGTTTGGTAACATCTCACTTTCCTCTCTCCTTGGGACCTTGACCAGCCTTGGTCACATTTGCAACAAGCCATGTTTTCCATTGATTAACAGCTGCGACCTTGTTCGTTACACAGCTAAGTTGGGTCCAAGTAATTCTCAAAACTACCTGGCCTCTGACGCGTTGTACTCGCCGGTGTTGAACCGAATGAACTGGAAGCAAGTTTTCACTGTGACCTTGAATTCTGGTGATTAAAATGAGCTACGGAGCTGGAAGCTAATGCATTTTATTGGAATAGCCGAATGTTGTTTTATCTCGTTATAGCCGCCGGATGCAAAGTACATGCTGTCATTTAGGCAATCTGCGGGTTTGATGACAGATCACCAAACTACATAAGCACCTGGAATACCGAGAATAGCACTACTTTCCAATTTAACTGCGTAACACGGCCCTCTGAGGCACCCTCGTTGTTATAATCTGGTGCTTGACCTGTCTGCACGGATACCCTTCCTGAAGCGGAGTTTCACAGGGGAAAATCTAGACGTTGCGGCACCACAAAGCTCCTTCCCCATGACAGTCAACTAACTGACGAGCTGATCTTGGCCATTTGCTTACCAACAGTGTTTGCCTGCATCTGCTACCACTGCGTCTTACAACTCTCGCTGCTTGATCAGAGACACCTGTAGACACACACGTTTTGAAAATATATTTTTCGATCACCATACATCTTTTTACGCATTTATACCATTTGTCGGGTCCGTTTTCTTCACATTTTTGCCAGTAAATAGTTTCGACGGCGTTTATGCAGACCATACACACCAAACATCTTATTTACTCTATCTGTATAACATAGCGGTTAGTGAATTTACCTTACTGACTGATATAGCCGGATTCGTTTTCATTTAGTGATCCTATTTCCTTATGAATTTTAGCAGAATATTCCTTCCGTTTCCTTTCGCTCAATGGTTGCAAAGTAGCGTCGATCGCTGCTAAGTTACCGTACACGCTTCAGTCCATTTATCTGGCAATAACTTCGAGTGAAGCGTGTGGTTTACCATTATCCGGTAGCGTCTATTTTGTTTGACCTTTAATTGTCATCGGTTGTATTTTCAAGAATTTACTGTCTCATGTACTGTCATCACACATGCAATGCCGTGCAGTTAATGAAGTCTTTTCAACAAAACCATATTCTTTCAAGGATGAAGATCAAGAGACCACGTGGATAGCAATTAAGCCAGTCAGCTATCATTCATCTCATTCTTCTCACCCGAGTAAGCCATCAGACACTGGGACCATACATCTACGAGTTTATACTTCGCTGTCTGATGGTGACACTGTGAAGAGTCGTATACACACACTCGGGGGATTCGACAACACCGGCAATGTTCGTCTTTGGCCTTGCGAGTTAATTTTAACCCACGCGATGCTGTGTCCCGATATGTACCCCGGTGTGTGGATTCGCATCACGAGCTCTCAGCAATCTATCAAAAATATCTGCGAACTGGGCGCAGGTATGACTGGCTCAGGTGCTCTGGCTGCTTCCTTATCGCCGTGCCTGTGCTCCGAGTTCGTTCTGTTAACCGATGGGAATGTGAGGTGCGTTGATTCTCTTCAACGAAACATTGAACATCATGTGGCACGACTTTCCAAATTGAATATTCAAACGCAGCTGGAGGCTTATAGACTGTTTTGGTCAGATAAGGTTAGCGGTAGCAATATTTTTCCTATCAGATACGAGATGGTTTCTTGATTGCTTCTTTTACCAAGTTCACCCGGTCCTTAATTACTGATTAATCATCGTTCCGACAGCCATTTTCATCACGTTCCTCCGAATGTCTTAATCAGTTGTTTTTTTCTAAGGTGTTTCCATCAGACGGATTTAAATATTGAGTTGTCAGATTTTTTTTTGCCTGTTACCTTATTTTATCATTGCAATATTGACATGGTACACAAAACCGTACCTCTTGGGAAGAAAAATCTGGTGGTCGTAACCTAAAGAACCGGATGGTGATAAGAGTAGCGAACCCGATATCCTCTGATAAACAAATTACGATCCTCCTGAATCAGCATTTTGTGAAAAACCGGATCATTTTGCTCGCATTCACATTCCGTCGGGCAACTGATTTGCGAAAAGTGTTGATTTCCAGGTGGCGCCTTTTCGTACAGCACATCTAAGCTTCCCTACATTCTGTTGGTTTAACTGCGAATATGTTTTCAGGTCCGAATCCGTATCCTATGACATGGAATGAAAGTGCTTTACGTTAATTCTAGACCTGAGGACTAGATCGTTATGTCTGGGTGGTATGAGGCCACAATAGAATTTGGAGCGTTAGCATACACACGCGTATTCCAGCTCACAGTGTCGCTGTTAAAGTTTTCGCTACTTGCTCACCTGCATGCATTTTGGGTGTGCGGCTTGTTGTACAGCTTGGGTGGAGGGTCTTGATGTTGTTCCTACCGAACGCTGCACTTCACCACCGGTTTCGTCCTCGTTCGGATTCCTCACGTGGAGATAGCGGTAGTTGGAAGTGGAACTCGGTGCGGAATGTTTGACGGCGGATACTTTGATTGCTAGGCCACTGAGTTGAGCGAGATTCAAGGAAAACCGTGCCCTACATTGGTATTGCCTGTCGCAACATAACAAACCACCAACAATGGACTTTTTCACTTGCCGCTTGTTGATATAGGCTTAATTACGATTCTTGTGGCTTATCTATGCATTTATAGGTAGTTCAGCTCCACAGGATGTTGAGTGCTATTGCAGCTCAATGTGTACTAGTGAGGAACATGCTGAACACATCCGGGACTACTGCACCCCATACTGGGAACGAGGTACATATATATATATATATATATATATATATATATATATATATATATATATATATATATATATATATATATATATATATATTTAACGCTTGACCACTAAACAATTAGCAGTGTTGTAACACATGGTAAACAACAAAATTGAGGAGAAATGGTGGTCAGCGGGTTACGTGGGTTCATGTGCAAACGCTTGGGTACTGAGAATTAAGACTTTTCCTCCTTCTGGTGTCGTTCTATTTACGCGTTGTGATTCAGCCAACCAGTACTCGATACCGTGCCAAAACATTGGCATATCGTCCACTCGCTATTTTTGGCACCGGATACCCGCCGTGTTATTCCACATTTCACTTTTTTGGGCACATTTTGTTGAACATTGTGTGACCATTGCACGCTGCGCTTCATTGCGTCTAACTGGCACCTCTTCGACATTGTTGGTCTAAGAACCGAATAGCTGGCGCTTGCCGCTGTGCAACAATTCGATAGTTGTATGCATGAGGTGTCACGCTGCCGAAGCCTAGATTGTTGGATAGTAACTTTCACATTCGGATTTGCTGCATGCAGATGCTCGAATTGCAATTGAATAGCTAAACATTCCAGAATAACGTCGTAAGAGTTTTCAGCTGGAGTGCCACTCGCCGTTTTTATCTGCCTTTCATCCATCCATTTCATATCAACAACTCACCCACATCGGTTAGTCAGCAGTAACTGACATCGTTTTCCATTTTCAACGTGTAAAAAGCTGCCGACGGCCCATTGACATGCTGAGAATAATTCACATATTTCATATTCGCATCACCCTCATATGGCCTGTCATTTGGAAGGTATTTGTGTGGAAACGTTTTTTACGATGACTGGTACCGCTCCTATTTTTTGTCTTGACTTTTTCAGCAAGACCGTGCCACAGCAGAACTACCGCACCGTTTTCGACACTCTTTCCAACTTGTCATGGCATCAGATTGTTTCTTTCACACTACGGAACACACTGGATTGTTGAGCCTCGTTGACGCACTTTTGGCCGTTGATTCACACGCCTTGTTTATAGCCATCGCTCCTTTGCGCGGAAAAACTCTACAACACTTTGTGGATCGTGCTGCACTTGACCATAATTGGCAAGTTGCACTTCTCAGCCCGAGAGAGTATATGGCATCAGGCTTGTACGAGAGCATTCTTAATAAGTGGTCAGGGAAGGAAGAGCATCTTTTAGACAAATCTCTCGGCCACCTTATCATTTTGCAGAGACATTCCGTCCAGAAACTCTAACATGTCGAAGGAGCCTAGCACTCTTTAATATCCTCACACATCTGCTACTGTTGTGTATTTCGTACCGTTTATTAGAAATAAACCGTTTGAAATCTATTGCCATCGTTTTTGTATCGTCTTGCCCCTCCTCCCCGAATCTGCCTGCTTGCAATTGTCAACCTGGAGGAGTCATCTCTCTTTTTGGCTCAGAAGGAACTAGATAGCAAAACCAACTTAAATGTGCAGCTTTATGGCTTTAGGAATGCTTTCCCTCATAAAGTATTAGCCACTGCATTTTATTTGTGACATTTAGCTTTTGGATCAACGTTTTTTGGACTCCAGCAAACACGGTAACAGATGCGATCGTGACTTCCGTTTCTTATCACCAAAACATCCGAAAATGTCTACGGAGTTTTAATCAATGTATGCACACCAGCCTACAAGAAAGATATAGGAGGATGCCTAGGCATGTTAAGACAGATAGAGATTTGAGTCCAAATGAGTCAAAAATTCACAATAGTTACCGTAGTAATAGAACTGTCACTAGATGAAATATTACCTTCTATAAACCTAGTCTCACTCAGGGCTTGATTCTCAAGACAAAAAATGCAAAACTCGATCTAATGGAACTTCGTAAACGTAGTTCTTTAACACTAAAAGTAAATGCACACATATGACTTGGGATTAGATTTGTAGACGTAGCCTCAATGTTGCTCAACAATGAGCTAAACCAATCCCAGCTGTGAGCAAAACAACGGCGACCAGCACGTCAACTGTGAAGTGCTTGATAATGATTCACTAGGACGGTGCTTCACTTAACCACAGTGATACGAATAAACGAATGTTACCGCCGTGTTTTATGATCCACATGATTGTGTGCAAAAGGCGTAATGAATGCCAACTAAAATGTAAAATTATGCTGATGAGGAGGAAAAGAAGTATAAAAATTGCAATTTGTGGATTTGTAATTCACAAACAACATGAACCGACGGAAGTGCCGTCACCGAGAGGCCCTAGGCCTACCAACGTTAACACGTTGATCTTAAGTTGTGATCACATGGGCTTCTGAACGCTCAATGAAAGTCAATGGTCGCATATTCGCTCAGACCTTACTAGCAGCAGGTAAATCCTCTTATGGTAAATTTAGTAGCCACCATAGACATTGGGTTCAGTGGCTCATTCCTTCGCCGAGCTTGGAAATTGGTTTGCAAACGTTGCACCACTATGCGAGGTGTCATTGTCACTGCGCTGAGATGCAGAGTGTAATCTCACTGAATCCGCGAGATTACACTGCATCTCAGCCCAGTGACAATGACACTTCGCATGGTGGTGCAACGTTTGCAAACCAATTTCCAAGTTCGGCGAAGGAATGAGCCACTGAATCATCAACCCGAGCTACCAGTGTTCCGAAACATTTAAAATAGACATTGGGTCTTTTCACAGTCTCTGGAACTTATCCATGCTCGCCGGCACATACAATGAGACTCGCAAAGACAGGGCAAAGCTCCGTACTACCTTGAAGAAAGATCGCGAATCCTGGTGGTCTCATTGTGCGTCTGAGATGGAAGTGGCCGACGCCGTTAATAACCGTCGGAAGTTATTCCTTCTGATACATAAACGGGCAGCAGGAGACCTGGTGTTAGTGAAGCTATTTGTGACGAGAGTGGACAGCCTATCCACAACTTGTCAAAACGCTTGGAGCTTTGGACTGAGCTTTTTGAAAGGCAATTTCATCTGCCTGAGTTATTAGATTCTTTATCGACCAGTGATCGCCCTGTTCCCTGGACTGTCCCTTTGGATGCGCCCTCTCGGTCAGAAGCCGAACGTGAGATCGGACTGCTGAAGCTGAATTAAACCGTAGGATTAGATGATCTTCCTCGAGCCCTCTTCATATTCGGGGGACTTGCTCTTGTTGATGATTTACACGAGTTACCAGTGAACCTGTGGGAGTAGGAAACTTTCCCAACCGACTGGATCCGCTGCGTTATTGTCCCGAGATTCAAGAGGAGCTCACGTTCAGATTGCGGCAACTGTAGAGGAATCAATCTGATCGCCATCGCCTTCAAATTGCTTGCCTCTGTCATCCTTCACAGATTGACTAGTGCTTGTGAAAACCAGATTCATGAGGAACAAGTCGGGTTTCGTCGAGGTCTGCGCTTTACCGATCACATCCTCACTTTGTTTGAGCATCGTCACATATACTGGCGGCCCACCGTTGTCGTGTTCCTGGACATCAAAAGTGCTTTCGGTTCGTGGATCAACGTGCCCTTTGGGACTGTCTGCTAAGGAAAGGTGTGCCTGAGAAGTACGTAGATATTATCCTTGCACTTTACGCGCGTAGCTCGGGCAGAGTGAAGATTTACGGCAAGCTGTCGCCGCCCTTCACTGGTGTAAGATAAGGATGCCCAGTGTCACCTTTCCTCTTCAACTTCACTATTGACAGTCATGGAGACCGCGTTCACTGGACACGACTTAGAAGGTGTGGACCTGCTCCTAGGTCAACGACCTGTTGACTTGGAGTATGCTGACGACATTACGCTCATCTGTGGCAGCTCCCAAACGTGCCAAGCGGCACCAGACGGATTAGCACTTGCTGTCAGCGGTTTCGGGCTATACTTTGCACCCTCGAAGTGCAAAGTTTTTCTCCAATATTGGCAGGGATTACCTCCTGCGCTGCCCCTTGGTGGGGATGAAATAAAGTTCGTTCAAAAATTCAACTACCTAGGTACTTGTATCCGAACTGTTGGAATTGAAGACGAGGCCGCAAACTGTATAGCGAAAGCTCGAGGCGCTTTTGCTAACCTGCGCCACCTACGGCGCCGGCGCGACATCACTCTGCCTGAAGATTAGAGTGTACAGTGCAGATGTATGTTCGACCCTACTGTACGGTTGTAAAACCTGGCCCCTTAGGTCAGTGGACATAAGAAGGCTAGTTACGTTCGACCACTGGTGCCTTCGCAGTTTGGCTCATATCTGGTGGGAACACCGTGTGAGCAGTTAGCATGTTCGACGTCTTGTTTATGGGACAGGGAGAGGAATTGGACTGCTTAACACCGTTATATCACGCACCAAGCTCTGATGATTATGCCACGTGTTGCGCGTGCCAGCTCACTGACTCCCGCGACGTGCATTATTTGCGCGCCCGGGGGTGCGGATGGGAGAACAGGAGGAGTGGCCAAGCGATTACTTAGTCCGGAAGCATGAAGGCCCTTACTTCGAAGTTAGCCTCGGTTCGAGCCTCTAGGCCCCCTGTTTGGGCTGCGAAAGACAATGAACACGTTTGGTTGGATACACTTGTTGACATGACTAGGAACCGACCTTAGTGGCATGTGTGTTGGGAGTTTCTTTGTCCTTCCACCTTCCACTTAGCTTCCCTCTCCAACCACAATCTCATTTTACTAGGAGTAATACAACTCCTTTTTTGCGGCACACTAACCGGCTGTTAGCTCTCCGAAACGGTATCCATCAGTTAATGGTGGTTCTGCCGGCGTGTCCCTGTTGCATTTGTTTTTCTTCTTTCCTTATGTATTGCAGCACAATAGCTGAGGTGTTTTCCAGCTCTAACTAACGTCTGTAATGATGAGTGAAGCCGAGGTAGGAGGCCGGCCACTAATTCTCCTTGTATGAACTCCCTTAAATCCACTTCGATCGCAAAGTAGTCCACCGCGACCGATCTCATACATAGTGAAGAAGTGCTCAGCCTATATGCTGTCACGATGCTCATTACCAGCCACTTGACGTTTTGGTTCTTCTGTTTGCCCAACTGCTTTTGTTACTGATCACTGGGGTCTCAACCCAAGCTGACGACGCTTTTAGCTAGACATCTGGGCTGACGACTTCTGTCCTTGCTACTGCTCATTTTTCCACCGACTAACTGACTGTTGTGCTCTAAGTCAAGGTGTCTATTGAATTTCCAGTTTGTCCGTCAGCATTGCTCCTGTCGTGATATGCCAGCGAGTATGCAGACTGTTGTAGTGCGACAGCCGAGCCGATTCACCGGTTAGTTTATCTCACTGCTCTCGTCTGGAAACTGCTTGTACCAAACTGGGCAGCAGTTAGATGTAGACTGAACCCAGTTTCACTGTCGCCCACCTTAAGCTTTCGGGACGGATAAGTACTCAGAAATCAGTTTTGCTAGATTTTGCGGATTTTTAGCTCATCTCGTACTAATCACTTGAACTCATTATTCGACAGATAGCGCCATCAAGCTTAACGAGACTACCAACCACCGATGATGAATGAGTCGAATGTCGGTCAGGTATGTAGCCGAATGCACCGCCAAGACGGTGCCATGATTCACTTGTTCACCCAGTTTAATGCGTCTAAATAAGATGGGTTTATACGCTTCGGATTAGGATGATCCGGAAGAACGATTAATTTCAGTTTTTGTAACAATCTGCTTGATACAAAAAGCTCAGTATAAGCGCATGAGAAACTCGATCTTTTTTACAGGAACCATTAGTTATAATGACTCGTGACTGCTTTGTATGGGGCTGCTCCACTTCCGCAACCGCACTTCTAATATACGGTTGCTCTATCGTCTCACTAACGCGCGTTCATATATGCAACAGCTGAATATTTATCCTTCATGGCTGCATAAAGCACGTCCATAACTTGATTTGCAATTTTCGCTCCGACTATCCTTATGGTACCAATTAAGTTTATGCTTTTTTTACTCATGGTAAGCCCTTGTTCCATTGATGTATGGCTAGTGGGCAAAGATCTATCGGGAACTTTTCTGGGGTTAAAAGCGCTGATGGAGCTGGCGGCGGTTGAGCGTCATTCCAACTCACCCAGAGGACCTCAGTGAGTGAAAGTATTATTGAGTGAAGCAAATAGCTAACAACTTGATGTATACTTGCCAGTATGAAGGTTGGAATACTGTTGGAAGGCGTCCACACAGGTCTCCGCTGTGTCGCGATCGGTTCTTTAATCACCTCAAACAATCTAAATGTTGACTTATCAGTTCTGTTAGACAACTATGACCAGGGAACTGGAGTACGTCACCACGACAACGATACTTAGCAGTAGTGGGGAAAACAATGTCGGACTCAGGCAGAATTCGGTGAAAAAGGGACTCAAAAAAGTGAACAGAATTACAGGGGCTTTGATTCTAACAAAAAGATAAAAACAAGCCGGTGCACCCGGCCTCCTGCTGTGCTAGTAATTTGACAGGTGGGCGAGAAAGCTGATTGCCAATGCACGCGTGTTCGCCACAAAGCGTACTTGGGGCAGACCCTGCGAGCGTCTTGCCACGGCCCAGCCAAAAGTTGATGAGATCGCGAATCAGAAATCATGCGTGTTGCCAAGGTTTGACCGGAAGCTGATGAAATCGCGCGTCAGACATCAAGTACGTTGCCATGTCTCGGTTAGGCGGATGAAGACTGGCGTGCCCGAGGGAGACGACGAATTGGCCGGACGGAGTGGACAGTCAAGTGTGGAGCGTGGGCGTACGAGGAAACAGGTAGACAAATCCGCCAGGTGCTGTTTAGAGGATTGGTGAGACCGACCTATAAATATGAGCGTTTTCGGTTCTAATACAACTGGTCGGCTGAGTCTTCTTCTGTTTTCCTTCCTGTCGGGGTGGCCAAGGCGTCAAGCGGAGTAGGCGTAAAGGCGCAGATTTATCAGCAGGCGTGGACCAACCGGTCGCTTGCGGGTACAACGTTATAAGATAATTTTTAAATCTGATTTGACCCCGGCTCCGGGTTGCTTTATCCATACCCCAGGAGGGTAACAATTGAAACTATCCGTTAGTTGACATCGACCACCCCCGGGTTTCATCTGTGCTCGTATGATAGTTGACACTACTTGACTCAGTTCATCACTTTGGAAGTCACGAGAATGCACTCCAGGGACGATTAGCGCCGCTACGAATCCTTTATTTCAATACGCCTGAACCGCCTCAGACTCTTTTGCATTGGTTGATTTTGCTAACGTGTGACGAATGAAATGTGTTTTTAGGCGTGGTAGCTAGCGTGCGAATGCGGTAAGAGACTGCGTCTACCACAGGCTACATTGATGCCCTCCCACATCTCGATATCGACAAATGGGAGCGCGTAATTAGCAACGAAAACAATTTAGCTGGCATTCTGTATGACCGAACGCTCTGACAATGCGATGCTTATGAACGTTTAAAAACGGAATCTTGGCAACTTAACAGTTTGAGTTTACACCCCACTGGATATGAGCACATCGGCTTGTAGCTAGTTGAATCGGAATCGCTCCTTTCATTTACCATTTGCAAATGTGGGCATGGTTGTTTTTACAGATAGAATATCTGTGCACCTTCACGCCACCTTTTTGTGTAGGGCGTGTTATAGCTAAATGATGACCCTGAATGCACGAAGCACTTTCTTGATTAGATCTACGAAGACATGAGACCACGTATAAACGGATCAGTTATTCACTCACAGGAGATGGAAGATCCGGATTATGTAGCTCCATAAAAACGATGAAGATACTTGGATGGGCCTTTGGATGTGTATCTCAATAACGCAGATGAGCGCAAAATTAGTGTCGCTCATGCAGAAGTATAACAGTTTTTGCGACACAACAGCCAGCTGTTAGCTCTCCGGAACGATGTCCATCCTTTACTGGTGGCTTAACTGGCTCGCCTATGTTTCGAGTATTGCGGCACAATGGCTGAGGTGTATCCACCTCCAGCTGACGTTTAAAATGTTGGTGATGAGATACACATCTTACGTACCATTGCTTGTACTTTTGTTTGTTGGCGCTCCGGTGCGTCGACCACAATGGCGTTTGCGATGCCGGCGTACGGTCTCAGATCCTTACTATCAGGCTCAAAAAGGCGTTCACAATGTATGCTCCTTTATCTTTGGTTTGTTATGCTTGCCCACAATTGTTGATTCTGTTCAGTATGGTGCATTCCGTCCTCTGTTCTGGATTCATTGACGATTCGCCTATCAAAGAAGCATTCAACACATAGGAGGATTTTAGTGTTCGCCTGGTGTGTCTTCACCGCCCTAGCTATGTATGTGACTGGAACTGTGGTCGATTTTTTTAATGTAGTAGTTGGGTAATTGGTTTTATAATCCCATGCAGGACGGTGGTGGCTAGCCGCATTACTGCCAAATCTTTCATAGAACCTTGCTGACTTCGGCCCAAGTTAATCTGGAACCCATCGTAAAACGGCTTCGAATGTGCTATGAATCAGAGTGGGACAATCTCCCCTTAGTTAAATCACGTGCCCAGCAATTACTGAGCTATTGCGACTTCCCATTTGAGTGACCTAATTTGTGCGCATTCATAATGACTGTTCGTCTTTCCTTTGTAGCTTGCCTAACCTGTCACTTGACAGCGAAATGGCGCAGGTGTCTCCTCTGGTGCTCGACATGCCTTGGGGATCAATTACTGTGCAAGCGGTGGACAATAACGGCAAAATCAAACCGAACGAACAAGTTAAATATCGTGACGCTAAACTATGGCCTGGAGGGTCTCGCGGATGGGACTGGCGAGAGACCGGGACTTCACACATTCCAGGTGTCCAGACCTCAGATGTGGAAGAGCTGATTGCCAGCAATCCGGACATTATCATTCTGAGTCGTGGTGTGCTGCGTGTTTTACAAGTGCCCGATTCAACACGAACTTATATTCGTGAGAAGTTGCCCAAAGTGGAGCTGATTGTTGAGCCTAGCAAAAGCGCCTATCACATATACAATACGAAGGCAAAGGAAGGCAAGCGAGTGGCTGCTTTACTCCACACAACTTGCTGACTCTAATTTTAAACTGTGTGTCTTTGTCGATGACTTCTCACTAAATCCTTACACACGGTTGCACTTTCCAAGTGCCTCGTTTTATTCTTCATTTGGTCACGGCAGGTTTTATTCGACACGATGACGACATTTGAAGACCGAAATCTCTCTATGTATGGGAGGAGAAATTCGGATCTCACTTTTTTATGTCAGCTTATATTATGTGCGTATGTATATATGCATGTGTCGAAGGGCTGTGCTTAATGTCTTTGATAACGTAACAACTGGTCAAGAAAACAGCCCAAGATGGGAAGCACTGTCATGAAACGGAGTACTATTGGATAAAAAATTGGCACCAATTTAATGCGTTACGTCATTTCCATCACCATAATACCCATTAGCAAGAGATGGAAAACGCAGCTGTTGTGCCGCAATATGTACTAAAAGAAGAAGAAAGAATCCTGCAACAGGCGCACACCAGCTGAGCCACCAGTAACGGATGGACATCGTTCTGGAAAGCTACCAGCCAGTTATTGCGCTGCAAAAAGAGTTATAGTATGCCCAGGAAATGAGATTCTTGTTGGGGGAAGGGGGTTAACAGGAGGGGCGAAGAAACACCCCAAGCAAGCTCCACTGAGGTCGGCTCTTCCATATCAACAAGTGTATTCAACCGAACGTGTTCATCGCCTTTCGGACCCCAACTAGGGAGCCGACGCTAACTCCGAAGAAAGAGCCTTCCACTATACCATTTTCCAAACATTTCAAGCCGCAGGGCATCCAATTTCAGCCGTAAGGCTTTCGACTTCATCTAATATAAATTCTCCCGTCCATGCGTCGGTGGTTGCTCTTTCACTTGCTATCGCTTAGCTTCTTTAGCTATGTCGGCCGGTGGCCGAGTGGTCTGTACGTTTGGTTTGCAACTCAAGGTCACCGGTTCGAATCCGCGTAGGTCTGGGTGTCCTCGCGGTATACTCAGCCCGCGCGCGACTGGTGGTGGTCGGGCGGCAGCGAAGCGCTGTTACGGCGTGTACAGCTGACATATTATTATTATTATTATTATTATTATAGCTGCCTTATTGGTTATGCGCCTTCAGCCAATAGGAGGTCGCATTTAGGTATAGAGGGAAATCGAATCACAGAGGGGGCAAAGGGGTGCCGACCGCAAACGATCGAGAGCAATTCATCCCCAGGGCGATAACGGATGGCAGAACGCAGGTGAAACTAGTAAAGCGTTGGGTCAGCGGCTGCGTAGTAGGATGAAGTTGAGACACTGTAGGACCAGGGCTCGGGGCATGCCCCACGTTATCCTTTTAACGAATCCTCTGTTGTGTCCCCAGGGGTTCGACTAAGCAGCTTCTTAGATTGCGCCACGCGAGTCAAAAGACCAGGCACCGGACAAGAAGTATATTTGCTAGACACAGAACGGGCCGACGTGGGTATGAAAACACACCGATACAGTCCAAATCACGGCTATGTGCTAGTTTGAAGTTGTCGATTTCAAAGAATCACGGGACGTATGAGTGGTATGAAACAAGCGGTAGTAACAAATGTTCTGCAATACAGAAAAACAGTAGTCTGCTTGTAACTGAGACTGTTCTGATACAAGGCACATGGTTACTTAGGCAAATTGCGCACGTACATTTCTCGGAGCAGGCCTTTCGAAACCTAACATCCTGTTGGCGCAAAGAGGTGATATTTGTTTTGCATTCCGTCTCAGCCCGTAGCCACTGTCAGTGCACCTAAAGTCACCAGGTGCTTGCAGTGGCGTAGCAACTACTCTTGTCGCCCGGGGGGAAATGAAATTGCCGCCCCCTCTGGCGGTTTCAAATCCGTAAACCCTCATAATTTCTGGCAGCTCTTAAATACTTTATTTCGTATAACAACAAGCAAAGATCTAATTATACAGTGCTGCCGTAAATTCAGGAATTTTTATTGTTACAGTACTCGTGAATAAGATTTACAGATACACTTTTCGCGCATTACTTGAGGCAATACCATTGATAACACACTCGACCGTCAATTTCGCTCTCTATGTTAAGAACTGACTCCGTGAGCCTAGTCTGCTTCAATGAGGATTGAAGTTAGTTCCTTATGAGTTTACGTTTTGGGAATGCCCTCTCACAACTGGGTATGCTAATATTTCGGGTAAGAAAAGTGCACAGCAGATTCCCCAAGTGATATTTCGGTATGAGACTTAAAACCTTAGAAGGCCCATTAATTTTATTTTTTGATGAAGCTTTCTTTCTTCAGCAAGGACTCCAATTTTTCTATATCTTCATTTAATTTACTAAGCGGACAACCATACCTAGTATCAAGCAGATTTAACGGTGTAAGAAAGCATATTTGTTTGTAAGGTCATGAATTTTCTGAAATCTATGGCGTTTCATTAGTCAAAATGTCTATGAGAGACAGCATTTCCCATTTCAACTCTGCATCAAATCCCATCGATATATCCAACAATTATCCACCGTCCATTCGTTTCTTTTGACCGATTCTACGCTTCATGTTTGCTCCCAAATTAGCGTGGGTTTTTGGATTCATTTGTTGCAATATGCACCATTTTCGCTCCAAGCTGAAAACGAAAATTCTTAACGCTGTAAGATTATCAAAACTTTACAGATCCAGCCCATTTCTTTAGACACACCTATGCATCCTTGAATTCCATGAGAGCAGATCCCCAAATGCTAAGATACAAAATAAACGGAAACGACTTTGCCGAGACGAGAACAATAGAACAACGGTATATTTCAGGCAAAAGAGCGGATGCTTAGCAAATCCCATACCATGGCCAAAAATAGAATCACAACATGATGAATAGAAAACAAAGGGATACAATGAATATCGTTTTTGTGGACTCACCACATTATTAACACAGAGGCACGCAGAAAGAGCCAACCACAGTTGTTTAGGTTAATTCTGTTGTGCAACGTTTGTCCCATTTTGTCCTCTGTTGAGACACAGGCTATATCTCGTAGTGTAGATGGGTTAGGGTAACATCAACGCGTTTTTTGAACGCAGGTAAAGTGAGGGCGGAAACATGGTAATTTGGGAGGGGATTTCCAAGGCTGATTTACGCGAAGAGAGTAAAAGTTCCGTCGACATTCTAGCCGACTGTATTGTGTGGCTAACTTGAACTGGTGACCCCTCAAATTCGTGTTGTGACTCAGTTGTAGTAGGTGACGGCAGACGTGGTTGGGTTTCCTTAGAATCCGGTAGGCCATAATAAGGTCGCAACGTAGGCGCCGGTACCGGCCACTGTATAATTTTAGGGTCCCCGGTCTAAGTTGATAAGGAACGTTGAACAACCCTTTGACGTGCTTCCTGGCTCGTCGCTGTGGATTCTCCAGCGCTGCAAGGTCTTCTTTGTGCCAGCGCTGCCACACCTGTATCTCGTATTCCACATGACGCCGCAAGTAGGTGTTGAGCAACTGAGCACAGACAGAGAGATAAAACCGCCCAAATACCCTCCGCAGCATGCCAACTTGTTGGTTCCCGGTCTTTGACGCCCTCTCAGATTGTTCTGAGCAGCCCAAATCAGCCTGAATTAGTACCCCAAGCTCGCGCTGCTGGGTGACTGATTGCAGCACATGATTTCCAACCTTGTATGTAATATTCGGCTGTTGGCGAATGTGAACCACCTTACACTTTCCCGTATTGAACTGGAGCAGATTGTGGGGTGACCAACCATACGCTCTGTCCATGTCTCACTGAAGTGCATCGTGACCTGCTGGGTCGGCGCTCGTCCAGCACATCTTAACATCGTCAGCGAACAGCAAGAAATCTGAAGTAATCCAACGTGTAAGCACGTCAATGAATACGAGAAACAGACGCGGCCCCAGAACTGATCCTTGTGGAACTCCACATTCGACATAAATCGGATCATATAGCGCACTTCGAACTCTGACCTGCGGTTGCCGGTCCTGCAGGAAACTTCTGATCCACCCAAGGACTGAAGCACCAACTCCATAGCTTTCGAGCATGTGAAACAGAATGCGACGGTCCAGTCGTTCAAAGCCCTTGGAGAAGTCGAGGTAAATGACGTCTGTCCCTCTGCCTATATCGACCGATTCCGTCCAACAACAATGTGCAATCAGTAGGTTAGTAGTAGTGCATGAACGGTGCTGGCGGAAACCGTGTTGCTCGGGTGCTATGATGTTGTGGCGTCCTAGATACAACTGATCTTGTGATTGCATTTCCTCCTTATGAAATATATCAGTGAAGTGACGAGTTCCGAGTTTCTTCACCACAATATTTACGGCACCTGTTTGACTACCCCATCTATACAGTCATCTGGTACTTACGCCGGTGACTTGAACCAAGGCATTCAAGGAATATTTGGATGTACAAAGAATGATAATATCCGGTCCATCGTACACACAATGTAACGGAATGAACCGTCGCGGAAGCTACATGAACACAGAATGGCTTGTACGTGACACAGATGTAGACTTTGAGCTAATGTCATAGATACATCTCTGGATACCCATTTTTTAGCGCGCCATAACACCACCATTGTCAAATGCTTGGTCACGACAGTCGTCAATGTGAATTCCATCCTTCTCCGATTCTCGCAAAACCAGTGCAGAAATTTCCTCTGCCCTTTTGCTGTTGGTCTCAACGAAGCTGAGAAACGACTCCTCTACCCTCACTTCATTTTCACTCATCTGATTTTTGTGAAATACATCGGGCGTGTTATCGAAAAGGTAGCAAACATAATTGTTTTCATTGAACTGATCTAAGATTTTCTTTCTCACCTGATTGTACCAACTTGCTCAGCAATTCATTTTGAACGTGGTATGACAAAGAAATGGAGCCGCTTTTCCTTCTCAGCTGAAGTGTCATCAGATGTTCGCGAAGAACAGGCTCACATTTGGCCGACAAATGTACAAATGCTGAAAAATTCCGTTTTTTTGGCCTGCTTTGTCATCCTGGATGTCTGCTCGGTGAACACACAGTGTCATGCTTTGCTTGGGGAGAACCCTGACGATATGAAGTATTCCAGCTAACTTTCACTCCACTGA